GAGCCGCGCAGAAACTGTTGCTTTCTATGTTGGAGCAACTTGCTGACCATGGTAAGTAATTCTATAATAGTTGGAAGGTTAGTTTTAACTTTAAATAATGAATCTTGTAAGATTTTTCTACGCGCAGCGGGGTTAGACAATGTGCATTCGCATCGAAGCGATTCCATAGCGAACTTCAAAAATATATAGAACTGTCAATAACTTTCGAAAAGTCAGATTGTCGCGCGTCTGTACCATAGAATTTTTTTTTTGCACTTTTTCTGCACTTAGTCTAACCCCCCTGGTCTACTCCAGTCCATTGTTTCCTTAAATAAAGTAACGTGTGATAGTGGCGACTTCGAAGCACAACCCGGAGGCGCTGCGTGCGCTGGCGGCGGCACTGGGCGGTGCGCGTGAGGCGGAGCGCCGCGCCTGCTGGGGCCGGCCGCTGGGTTCGCGCGCGCTCTGGCGCCACCACGACCGCGCCATCGCACGCATCACGCGCATCGCACAGGACATACGCATACCTGAGGTACAGTCGAGGACATTTATTTCCTACCCATTTGAGTGCAATGGCATATGCAATTAGGTAACAAAACTGGTCAAACACCAACATACATAGGTACTGGTACTGGCTGAATCAATATTCGTTAACCTAGAGGGAATAGAACGATGTGACGTTTCGATAACATATATTCTTCATTACAATACATATACAATCTTTTTGTGATTTGAATTATTTTGTAACCAGCCGGGGCCCGAGGTGATGCCCAAACTACACGATTTGCCAGAGGAGTGCATCCGAGAGATTATGTTGCGGATATCCGACCACCGGGACTTAGATGTAAGTTAACTTCTTTAAATTATTTTATGAATAAAGTTATTATAATTTGGTCGGTTTTGACTATTTCGAGGTCAATTTTATGCAGATCTTCTGTTATTTGTTCTTATATTTGAATAATGACATTATAATGTGATCGATCGCTAAACCAAACTCACTTTAAATTATTTACTTGAAAAAGTCTAATTTCGGAAATGAATTAGACTGCCCCTAATTAGACTAAGACAATTAACCTCGAATAATAGTTTAATTGTCACGTATGTGTGACAAGGCGGCGTCGTCAGCGTGGAGCGTGATGGCCTCCCTGTGCTCGGAGCGGCGCGTGTGGCGCGAGCTCGTGTTGTTCCACTTCACGCAGCAGCAGCTCAGCACCGTGCTCGCCAAGGACGAGACGGACGTCGACTGGAAGAAGACCTTCCACCAGCTCAGAAAGTAACACCTCCAATGATTTCACGAACTTCTCATTCAGTAACAACAAAATACCTAAGTGCTAATTGTGATAAACAACTCATATTGCATGATTACTCTTAGTCTATTCAATTTTTTTCCGTGTAGATTACAGAGGGTATAATGTTCTTATACATATTAGCATTACTAGTGGCGCACGGAATATAAATAAAACTTAAGCAGCCTTTCTTCCAGTCTATGCTCTTCATCTATGCTAAATTCCAGCGAGATCAGATCAGCCGTTCTACCTCCAGAAACGTCCACAACACGTCTTACAAACGTCCATCCACCATAGTCGCATTTATAATATTAGTAAGCTATAGAATATTGATATGTAAAAATGTATATGTCAGAGTGTACGGTCTGCGCGAGGAGGCGCAGTTCGCGGAGACGCTGTCTCTGTGTCGTCACTGCAAGTGCCTCTTCTGGCGCTCGCTTGGACACCCCTGCATCGCCGACCAGGTCTCCTACATTCTACATTTATGAAATTATTGGCTTTTTTCAATTTACCTATGATGTCAACTTAACAATAAGCTCAAACAAGTCGTCTTTCTCTAAATGACACTTCCCTAGTATTAACTAATAGACCCAAAATTAAATAATAAAATCTGACATTAAAATACCAATCATTAATCAGCCAGCAAATAAAAAGCTGGTTTAAGTCTTTGAAAAGTTCTATAATCTAGTCAAGCACCATATTGATCTACGCAATACGTAATTCTTGCCGTTTTTTATGTTTTTGAATGTTATGTCTTGTGTTTTAGTGTCCAGAGTACCGCGAACGTCTGAAGGAGGCCGGCGGTCCCCTGCCGCCGCACCCCGTGCCGCCCGCAGCATTCCTCAAGTTCTTCTCGCTCTAAATGATAAGCCAAAATGGTCTTTGTGTCTATTGCGGTACGTCATAAACTCGATAAAATCATGCGCTTGAACTGACTGATCAACCAAATTACTGATGCTTCAAGTTTGTATTCTTGAATTGAGCAAAAGGAAAAGTACAGGCAGCTGAAATTTTCTTCTAATTGTTAAAAAATGTTTTAACATGAAGTTGTTGTCTTTGGTTTTTGCGGCATTAACGACGAGGCTTTTGGCCACGACGAAAAATATAGATAGTCTTTGCTATCTTACTATTATTTTTAATAATTTACACGTAATTTTCTTTGTTCCTTTTTATGATATGCGAAAGTATGTGTTCGATGATATAAAAAGCGCATCACAATGAGTGTCTTGCATAAAGTGACTTAATGTTTTTGTATCGTAAATTATATAAAGTATAATGATATTGTAAAATTTTTTTTAATTATTGATTTATAAATGATACCAGTGTTGTACCAAAAGTTTTTTATCATAAAACCTTACAAGTATGCTTGCTTTGTGATATTTTTTACTACAATATGTGTATTTAGTTTTTGTGTTGATGTGTAATGTTTTCCAGTTGATGTTATTAACTTGACCAGATATATAGACAGGACTCGGCAATTAAATTGAATTTAGCCATTCTTAGACTAACTCAAGACTGGCCGTTATCAAATTCACTGCCAACAATATGCTTGCTCTTATCTTATTTACGCCAATAGCCAATATGTTTAAAAATGTCTTGTCCGATTTCTCTAATAAGCCATGCATACAAATCAAAGTTAAATGCTTAACATGAAAATAAACTCCTTAGCAGCCCAGTTTACTGTATAATAAATGTAGATTCTTTCACAAATTTAATTTATAGTTTAAAATTTGTGTGTTAATACTGGCAGTTAAATATTGTAAGTCTAAAATACTATTAAATATTCTGTAATGATAAAGTAAAAGTAGACGTAGTCTGTAGTTGTTAAATGCCTTATGTGAAAAAATATTGCATGTCTTTTATGGTTTATATAAATAGAATGAAACTCTATGGTATTGTAGATTAAAAATTTAAGACTTCATCTTTAATACCGAATTTCGGACTGAGAAATGTAACTGTAGTATAAAAAGAAACATGTTTAAAATTAAAAATATTTAATTAGACAGTAATATAGTAGCAACAATTTTTCCATAAACGTCTGAAAGCAATATTTTTATAAATTACAATTTCAAGATAATATTAATTATTTGTGGCTAATGTTCGTTGCCTGGCAGAGCCTAAAGAAAAATTAACGAAAACTGTTCTGTCCAAATCTATTTTCTTATTAAGTCTGAATTAGATGTAAAACTGTTCTCCATATTGTAGAGTAGTTAAAGTTGTTTATATATTGTGATATTTTAAGATAAATATAACTTTACCTTTTAAGTGTTTGAGTCTCAAGAAGCTAACATTATTATAAGGTATATTTGAATGCAGCTTTCTCACAAGTAGTTCATTTTTATTTTTCTGTGATGATTTTTTTTTGTTTCGTGCAATGGAATTGTTTTTGAACATATGTTTGTGTGTTCAGTCTTTATGGATGTATTTTGAATAAAGTTATTTTAAATACATTATTTAATATTTTATTTCCCTTATAAATAAACAGTAATGCTGTGTAATTAGAACAGAGAGACAAAATCTTCACTGTAAAATCGATAAAGAAGCTTGGACATTTCCCATGATGTTAATAAGTTCTGTGAGTTGTATATATAGCCAAAGCATAATTGAACATTAAAATTTAAATGTTTCAATATGTACACAAAATACTATCATATTATATGAATATTATTTCTTTAACGAAGACAATAAATTCTCAGTATTGCATAAAAGATTCTTTGTACTACTAATGATTACAAAACAATCATATTCACAACATAATATTAATATATTCATTATCAAAATAAGATTACTACATGTTTAGTTGAAGCAGTTCATGATGAACACAAGTCAAGTTAATTCACTTTTAACATTCTCACAATGTCTCACCAAATCTTTCAATTTGTACACTAAATCTTGCAATTGTTGTGTATCACAGGTAAACGTAACATCGTCTTTATCTGTCTTCAAGATAACACTGTACAGCAACTTGTCTGAACCAACTCCGGGCGTATTTGTTAGAGCTTCCAATTTCCATTCCACATCTGTTATTCTTGGTAAGGCGTTTTCATCTGATTGGGGAGTTGACATTATTTATTCTTGGCAATTAGAGCCTCAAATGAAATTTATATGTCACTGCTGCCTACAATAAACATGCTAGATGCTTTATCTTCAATTTCCAAACAAGTTTTATAAATATTCAATTATAAATTAACTTAAAAACATTTTAATCTGGTTCACGTTCACTTTTTAAATTGTCAAAGTAGTGACATTGACATCTTATTCTAAGGCGAGGCGAGGCGGCGAGTTCAAATGTCAATCTTAAGCATAGACAATTTATTTATTTTTCAACTTATAAAACGTCATTTTAAGATCACAATGGTGTCTCTACTGTCGCGCTATAATGATGTAAATTCAGAAGACTACAAGTATTGTACAACGTACATATGATACAATCTTAGGCACTACAATTTGGAGGTGATCCCTGTTTTTAATATTTGATTGCTTATTGATTGTGTGTGAAAGTTTATTCCTTAATATAAAAATAAAAAAACGAAGTTCATAAATCGTTAGTATATTTAACATTTCACATCAAAAATAATATATCATATTTGTCATTTATTATAAGGCATATTTATTACATTTAAGCATAAGGCACTTTATTTCTTAAATAAGTATTTTAGGTTCAAAATAAGAAGAAATAAATTTCAGATAATACACCGCAAAAGCTGATAAAAGAACACAATATTTTTGATACAATAAGTATAAAAAATCATAAAATAATCTGATTGGCTTGGAGATTCTTCACATAAAAGTTATAACATTTAAAATTAGTATTTTTAAATATTTCTTAACCTAATTTGGTAAATATTTTACACATCTATGTTAAATACATTTTTCATGCATTGCTCCGTGTTTGCTACATGGCAACATTTCATGTAGGCAGTTTAGCACCTATTTTTACTGCTAATGTTAAGATTTTCACAAGACAAAAATTAGAAACACAACCTTAGTACTAAACAACAATTAAATACTGGCAGTTTCGAAATAAAAAGAAATAATCCTATTAATTTTAGCATTGTATTAAATCCAAAACATTGTATAAGGCATAACTATTAAGTTTAAAAAAAATCGATTAAATACATAAATATTGTAATTATTTTTTGGGACTTAACAAATTGTTAAGAATATTTTATAGAATTGCTAAAATAAATAGAATACGAAATAGGTGGTATAATTTTCATGTCCACTAAGTTTATAAAAAAATATTGGATGTGTATAACTCATATGGCACTTTCCTGCAAATTCAAAATATTTACTTTAAAAAAATATAAAACTTCATACATTTAACATTAATTATATTGTGCTTTAGTTAATAACATTTGTGTTTACTTTTTTAATCTGTTATTTTTACGACAGAGTAGATTTTACTTTAGTGATTACGAAATTATTAGAACTGTATTTTGATATAAATCCAAGTAACTATATATTTTTTATTTTATCAAACAATCATACTGATGTTAAATGATGTTCTTAATATAAATTGATTATTTTTGTTACTTGCCACCCTATGGTTGTGGTGTTGGGATACTCAAATTACCATAGATTTTTTTTTTCGTTTGAATCAGCGTTTCATCTTCTCCAATATTGGCAGTACCATTTCGAAGGAAGGTCGTTTGCCGGGGTCCTCGTTCATGCAGATTTTGATCAGTTTAGCGATGTGCGGAGACACGCCGGGCGGGATGGTCACCCGGAGCCCTTCCAGAGCTATCTTCATACCGCATTCCATCGGCGATAAGTCCGCAAATGGTACCTAAAAAAAACAAACAAAGTACTTTCGTTATCAAAGATCAATAAATTAAGGTAATTTTAATTTTGGTGGATTACTAAAGACCAATATCTGCCAAATACTTCTAAATACTTCTTGTTGTAGTTCTTTATTGGTTAAAGTAGTCAGACCTTATAATTTATCTTGTTAAAGTATCAATTCACTAATCATTGGTTCGTAAAAATTGTATTTAATGGCAGACGAGTTTTGTCTTATGCTGATAACAATTAATTATTTCTCAACAGTCCGCTGACCTCTCTAGTGGCGAGCTCCCAGAGCAGCACAGCGAAGCTCCACATGTCTGCAGCCTCCCAGTTGCGCTTCGCTGCGGGCTTCAGCAGCGCTTCGGGAGACATCCACGCCGGCGCGTACACACGACCGCGCTCCTGGAACGAGAACTTCGAGTCCGCCATGTTGATGCGCGCCGTCAGGTCCTCATCGATCTGGAAAAAAAGAAAATAGATTATACAGAGAGATTACGACATTCTAGCTGACGCCCGCCACTCCGTCCACGTAAAATAAAAAAAAGTAGTCTATGTGTCAGACTATGTTCTACATCTATGCCAAATTTCATCGAGATCCAAGCCATCTATGGAGATACTTTCAAACAAACATCTATCCATCCATACATGCACACATTCACAGCGAGAAGGAAGATTTAAATGTCACCGCAAAGACTACTATAACTTACCATAATATGTCGACTGTTGAGATGATATGTGGGCAGAGCGCGGTCTCTCTGCAGCGAGTGCAGATACGCCATGCCTGCTGCAGCGTCCCGCGCCAGGCGCAGCGCCGCCCCCGCGTCCACCACCACCCCGCCCCGGCCCCCGCCCCCACCACCGTGCAGCAGGCTGTACAGCGAGCCCCACGACATGTGCTGAGATATCACCACCAGAGATGGCGGAGACACGCAACAACCCACCTGGAAACAGCATTTTAACATTTTTTTAATAATTAGCCATATATATATTTGAATAGCTTTCGTCCGTATGATATAAAAAAAAAAAACTTAAAAGGTAGTCTATGGGTTTTTCCAGACTATATTATACATTTGTGTCAAATTTCATCGAGATCCATTGCGTCATTTGGAGATACATTGTAACAAACAATCATCCATCTATTGTTACATTAAAACTTTTGCATTTATAACATTAGTAAGAAGTAAGATATATACAATGACGGCACAAAAGAAATTGAGTCCTTTGAGTCAAGTGAACATGTTCCGAATGACAATTTCACGTTTATAGTAAACATGTTTTTAATGGTGCTATGTATTTAATAATAAAATAAATATATAACATACAACAGGCAGTATGTTGGGATGCGAGAAGATGCGCAGCTTGGGAAACTCCTCGTTGAAGTCTCGCTGCACTCGCGGCGTGCACTCACGCACTGCTATTATCTTAGCCACGATGTCGTTCTTCTGCCACCGGCCGCGCCATGTCTCACCTTCACACAGTCACACAAAACTTTTTTCATATATCTCTATGTGAAAACTAGAACATATGGTGCCATATATATGTACCAGTGATGTTAGCCAATTATCTTTACTGCTCTAATACTGCACAATTGTAAAACTTGCAGACAAGTAAGAAAAGGATAATTAAAAATTTACTCTGATGAAGTACACTTTCATGTGGGATTTGGGACTGGACAATAACTCTGGCTTAGAGGCTTCTTGCTAATACAGCTACAACTGTATATTATTTACTTACAAATAAAGTTAACTTACCTGATGGAGTAACAGCAATTCTCGTGTGCAGCGCCAACTCATTGATATTGATGCCTTTATGACGTGAGAGAGTCGCGTCACGACTTCTTGTCTTCAAGCCAAGCCATGACTGATCTTTGAACTGAATCTTCTTTAGATCCTGTCCATGTTGAACCGCGAGTTCATGCAATCTGTAAAAATAATTTCTTGTTTTTACAAAGAGATAGCTAGAACTATCTTGTCTCTTCAATGCCACCAAATACCATGGGTAACTACTAGGTATTTCAATCCTTAGGTTACACTTAATTAAGTACTATTTACCTTCAAAATAATTAAAATGTATAATTACCTTTGTACCAGTTGTCCTCTAGTCTTATCCAGGGGTGTATCCCCATCTTTATTTGCGAGAGACACAAGCGCTCCAGCAAGTACTAGATCCTCAGCAATCGCACTGTAGCCCCAGAAACACGCATAGTGTAATGGAGAGTTTCCATGCTCATTTGTAAAGTTAACATCCACTCGGTTTTGTAGCAACTGTTAATAATGAAAATCAGATATTGAGCAGCCATAAATATTGCAGGAATAAAGGGTTAGAGCTTGCTTTGACAGAGCATTTACTCTGAATGGTTTTGACTCAACTTTGACCCTTAACACTTAACTTCATGCAAGTTGTTTTGCTGGTCACAATTTTAGAAGTAGCCAAGATTGTGTAATGAATGTGGAGGGAGGGCATAGCACTGCACGCCGATAACCTTGGGTCACTAAGATATTTGAAAAGAGTTATATTTACCAGTTGTACAATAGGGCGATGTCCATGTGCAGCAGCTAAATGCAGTGGTGTATCATCTCCCATATTAGTGACATTAATCCGAGCCCCACGGCGAATGAGCATCTCCACAATTTTGATGTGACCTTCCTTGCAGGCCCAGTGCAGTGGACTGAAGCCATGATCATCTCTGACAACAAATATTACATTGATTTTAAATACAACTAAAATAACACTATAAACTATATACTAAAACTAAACCAAACTACATAATATTAAAAATTGACCCCAAATTGCTGCGGTCGCACGGTAGGGTTCCCAAGAGGCTGGCGGCATTTCCCCGTTGGATGGCCAGGCTCAACATTTGCCGGAAATGCACGCCAGCACTTGGATACTTACTCCTAATACAACTTGATTGAATATTTAAAATTAATGTTTCCCTGCTTTGGCATACTTCAGTAATATAGGAATTTACTTAGAAGACTTGCAGAAAATATTTAATACAAACAGTTTAAAGAAGGTTCACCACACAAGGTAATTTAAAATGATATATTTTATAAAATATGCTTAAATGGGAACAGTTGCTTGGAATATATTTTTTCCTGTTATTAATGAGGAAAAATATGATTTTTATTGTTATCACACATGCATAATGATTCAGACTATTTTTCTAAACTGTAGTACTTTTGAATAGTCACTACCTTAAATGTATATAATTTATTTGACCTAACCTTGCCACACCCAAATCACTTCTCTACAGCTGTGTGTAAAAAAAACAACAACCTTTCCTCAGTTACTGAGATTTCGAAATAAACATGAGTCATACAACTTCATAAATAATTGGTACAGATTTTAAGTTCATGATACTTCGATTAAGTTTTTAGGAATTCGTCCGTTGTTTCAAATTGAAACTGATTGATCAAACTTACTTGTTTTACTAAGTACGTATTTTTAACAAATCTTACTAGATTTTGTAAATATCGCAATTGTCAATAGGTGTAAAGATATTTTACAAGTAACCGATGAAGTCACAAGCTGCATACTAAGATGACCTATGACACATAGATATGATCTTACAATAAAAATAAACTATAGCCCAACAGATTTTACAAACATCTGTGGGCGAAACGCAAATTCCTTTTACCTTATAAGGTACATGTAGGCCTTCAAGATGTGTTTTAACTTATTTAAGGTATCAAAAACTTACTAAACTTACCCTTGGTTCATGTCATGTTCAGTATCATCTAGCCAAACTCGCACCTGCAAAGCATTTCCTTCTCTACACCACTGAAATATGTCTTCCATTTTTACAATTCACCGATTACACTGAAAGAAATACCTAAGATTGCCCCGTGTCAATATTTATCACGTTTGATAAGGGTATCTAAATAAATAACTTATATTGATTTCTGTTATCAAATAAGAAAAACGAAATAAAGTCACAACAGGAGTCATTCATTAAAGGCTCTACTTTGACAGTTTCGCAATCACCGAAAATAAAGTATAACTGTGTTAATTTTATAAGCATCCACCTTCGTTCTCAATCGTGAAGGAATTTGAAGAATTCATTTAGGCAAATATACTTTTTAAATTGAACGGGTTATATTCAAGAGTGTTGCTAGTATGAAATAACAGCAACCCTAAAAAATTGGTTTATGGTATCCAAGTTTAATATTTGTGTTTTTGAAGATTTTATAGCCTAGCCTGATGTGATAGACCTTTTAGTTTATTTGACACATTTTGCTTTATATTTAAATTTGGAGAAAGGCGTCAATCTAATACTTAAAAATGGTTATGTACACTTTAAAGTTAAATAATATTGCCATGTCCAACTTTTTATTTCTTGAATAGTTTTAAATCAATTGCAATAATCAAATCCTAATCAGACTTTTCTTGTAATTCGTCAATGTTTTTCTCAATTTTTTTTTATAGTTGGCATTTAGTTTTGCTCGACGCTTTTCTATTGGCACTTTATACTCCTGTTAAGCAGAAGTAGTTGTAGGTTTTTCCTTATATGGGTGAAAGCTAAAGAAAAACAAATTACATCCTTAGAAATAATATCACAGCAGAAGAGCTGTTTAGGCGTAGTGCAATGCTCAAAACAGTTCTCAAATTTTATATTTTAAAGTTTTTATTTAAACTATAAAGTAAACACTATTTCTTTGCAAATGTTATCTTCATTGCATGTGTTGGTGTTATTTTGAATCCTTGTAAAGCTTCTTTGGCAGCTGCAGATTGCATTTCATTTGAGAACTCTACAAAGGCAATATCATGCCTGTTTGGCACAAGACGGACTTCTTTAAAACCAGGAAACCTGTTAAAAAATAGACATAATTAATTGTAATCACAAAACCTTACTATGATTACTATTAACTTGAATTTAATTATTTTATGTATAATTAAAAAATTCTACAAAAGTTTTGTTTTTAAAAATACTTACTGGTTGAAAAGCATAGACAACATCATTTCAGATGTTTCATCAGGTAAGTTTGTAAGGAAGAGAATTTGATTAGGAGGTTGTTCCGCATTAACATTGCTAAGCATATTGGGCTGACCAAAGCCAGGTATGACCCCACGACTTGCATCTTTGTTTTTCTTCTTTTTACCATCTTCTGTACTTCTAGGTAATTTGGGACGCTTTGGTCTATCTTGGAATGTGCCTTTAACCTTTGCAATGACATCACTATCTGTTTTTGAATACTGAATTCTCTGAAATCAAATAAATAAAAACATGAAACATATAGAGGCTTAAACATATCATTCTTTTAAAATAATGAAAATAATCTTGATATAAGTTTAATGTAATCTGTTTAAAAAGAATTGTATATATATACCATTGGTTTGTCATAAAATGGGAATCCTTGCATGCTTCTCAACGCAACAGTGGCGCTGGATATTTCTTTAAATATAACAAACGCTTGACCTCTCATTTTCAGTGTTTTCATTGCAACTATATCCAATATTTGCCCGAACTGTGAGAATATTGCATATAGTGATTTTTTAAGTTCGTCCTTTTTTATTTTTTCATTTAGGTTGTTTATGTAAATAGTGTGATTCGGTCGGATATCCATAGCTGAAAGAGCAAAATATAATATTGAATAATTGTCTTCAGATACACCAAAAACATTAGTAAATTATGTACTGAAAAAGGATCGATATTTTTTTTACGGTAGTATGAAATTATAATTTTTTTGGAGGATATGATTTATGTTTATGCTTTTCGTTGCATTGTTTACCTATTAGAAATATAATGTTATTATGACCAAAACCGTAAAATAAATTAAAATTAACTTGGATGGATAATTTGAGTTGTTAGAATAACAATTAATAATACACTTACTCATTTTAAAACTGGTTAGTTGTAGGATAGAACAATTAGTAATGAACGGTTTAAAATGATAACACACTTCGGTAAAATAAGAATCTTTACCAGTTTTACTTTTTAACCTACAAATTTAATTGATTTTAAAACTAACTCAATGGCGTCGGGTCGGCGTCGGACACAATTATAGATTATAAAATTATTATAGACAGAAAAATGTCGAATGCAAAAATCTGCAACAAAAAACTTGTAGATTTAAAAGCACTTTTTTCTAGTGGGATGTTTTTCAGCTTATTAAATTATAAGTAGTTTACTTTATAAACAATCGAGGAAGCAGTTGTGATTCTGATTGCTCACTGTTATTGATTTGCTCTATCTTTACGTCTGTCATATTTTACGCGGGCTGTCAAATTGTGAATGTTATTTATTACTGCTTAATAAATATTTTATGTTTTTTTTAATCAATGAAAAAAAGTTTTATATTATTTTAAATTGTAAGAGTTTTTGTGTATGTTTTTATTAAATATTAACATTCATATATATTGAAAGCAAAATGCACGATTTTTCCCATGACTTTGACTCTGTTACGCCTGATTTGTGGATGGCTAATGAAGAAAATTGGAAAAAGAAATTATCAAAACTTGCTAATTGGTATCAGGTATTGACTTAATCTTATAATTTTTTCTTTAATTCTCTAAATAAAATATTGTTTTCTTTGTTTGACCTCCATATAACCTTCCAGATACCTCTATTGAATTCAAATGCTTCACACAATTTGTCTGACGGTAGATTAGTTCGATTTCGAGGTATGGTCCAGGATATGCATAACCCTGAGTTTTACTTTGAGAAATTTGAAGTTTACAATACAGTTACTAATGAAGTTAAAGTAAAATCTGGAAAATATTGTGATACAGCTCACATACTGGTATGTTGAACATTAATTATACTGTTCATCTTTAATGTAAATTTTTTAAATACTACTAGTCTAATATTTAACATATTGAAATTGCAGGAAAATGAAAAGATTAATTATACAGAAAACTTAAAAAGTGCACAAAGACAAGCTATGGTGGTTGTTTCTCTACCTGGTCTGAGTGACTGGGCACAAGAAATAGAGGATAGTCGAAACCATTTGAAGCATTTAAATGATCAACCAAATACCACAAAGAGACTGGTCTTGACAAATATAAAATTCAAACGAAGCTATGATGAGACTGAAGAAGATCCTGAGGCTATGGAAGTTGCAGATAATGTTAGTGGGAATAAGGAACCTAAGACATCAGAAAAAGTTGATGATGGGAATAAAGTGGTATCTAGAGAGCATTTATTAAACTTTCCATTACCTGATGTTCCAAGTAAATCATGCATTGTTAAGGTAAGACCTTATATTTTGTGTTGCCTGTTATCTAATTCAAAAGTTTACTATGTGAAGCAACAAACAGATTTAACTTCCTTGGGAACTTGCTCTAAAAAACTTCCAATTCAGAGCAAGATAAACAGTACATTTTTATACTTTTCATCTATTCATCAGTTTCCTCCTTGTTCCATCTAACTCTGTCCAATTGGACTAGACAATGACTTGCTTATAGAGATTTCTCGCATATCCAGGTTCAAGTATATTTTCATTTTAGATATATGATGAATCAGAAAATCTCAAATTAAATGATATGATAGAAGTGATAGGATTTTTATCTGTTGATCCATCACTGTCTGGTGAGTTCAAATCAGAAAATAACTCATTCTTGGAGCCAGAGAGCGAAACAGATGCGGAGACAATCACACATAACCCTCCGCCAAGTTTAGTTCCACGACTACATGCTGTTGTTGTGAAGAAACTTGACCACTGTAATCCATTATTAACAGAAACTTTTGATCAAGGTTAGTTGGAAACACTATCTTATAGCAAACTAGGTGTCGCCAGCGACTCTGACTGTGTAGAGATAAAAACAAAAAAAATTGTAGCCTATATGTTCTTTCAGACTATGTTCTATATGTATGCAAAATTTCATTGAGATCCATTCTAGAATACCATCAAACAAACATCCATCCATCTAAATATTTGCATTTATAATATTAGTAAGAATTAGAAAGATAAGTTAAAGCTATTCAAAAAATATGTTAAATTAAAAAAAAAAAGCCAAAACACTCAAGAATATGAAGAATACAAGTAAACACCTTACTTGTTAAAATTAGATCAGTCATTTAGGCTACTGGCTGTCACAATAATGCACTAAAAATAGTTGAGGAAAAAAAATAAAATAAATTTACTGTACAATTTTATTTTGCAGCAAAAATATTACAAGAAGCAAGTTCTGCTCGAGAGCATCTTTTAAAAGCTCTAACAGAGCTGCTGCTTGGAGATAAATTGGCAGCTGAATATTTGATATGCCATCTTATTGCATCTGTGTAAGTTTTTTTTTTTATACCATAAGGTGGCAAACGAGCGAGCGACCACCTGAAATCGCTGATATAGTGAAGTGACCGTTGCCCATAGACATACGCAATTGCATATGCGTTGCCTACCTTTAATCGACGGAGGAGAGGATGCACAGCAAGGGAATACCCTTTCCATGCATCCTCTCATCCGGAAAATTGGAATATTTTGCATTTTATAATAAACATTGTGAAGTAACAAATTTATTGTTACCTATCAATTGTTAACTTTGTCAGTTTGCTTTTTGACTAGGCATATTATAACTCTCAACTGTCAACTGTTCAGAATGTAGAGTATAGTTTTGAAATCCTAACAAAAATAAATGAAAAAATCTTTTTAAGAAGAAAGCGCCAATAGCTTAATGGTTAAGGGTACGAATTTCGGAGGTTCGAATACCGCCATTCGACTATTGTCGTAAACCATGTCCTAGCACAAGCATAGAGCATGAATGGGATGGAATTGGAATGGTACAAAAAATAATAGAAAATTTACAAAAATCGGCTAATATTTGTAAAATATGTTTTAGTTTTTTGCAACTTTTGAGATAAAAGGCACAATGACTTGTAAATGATTGATGATTAGATTTTTAAATGGCTTAAAATCAGTTTTTTTTACAGATATCTACGACAAGATACTCTTGCACTTGGACAGTTTTGTTTGAATCTGTCAAATTTACCAACAAATAAATATCCAAACTATGCCAAACAATTGTATGATATTATAAAACAATTTGTCACAAAAAGTTACTATCTGCCTCTTACAATTGACAATCTAAATACCATGGCTCTATTACCAAAGTAAGTAATATTTTAAACATAAATGAAGTAAAATTTAAAAAGTAATCTAAATCGACAGTATTTCTTTCTTGTGCAAAGCCAAAATTCACCATATGAAAACTATCTTTATAGCTAAAACCTGTAAACAAAAAATATTTTTAATTAAATACTTTATCTCACATAACTATATTGTAATAGCCACCTTATTATGCAATGCCAATAAACTATTTTTTTTATATCAAAAGGTGGCAAACGAGCGAGCAGCCACCTGTAATCGCTGAAATAGCGAAGTGACTGCTGCCCATAGGCATACGCAATTGCATATGCGCTGCCTACCTTTAATCGACGGAGGAGAGGATGCACAGAAAGAAAATATCTTCCCTTTCCATGCATCCTCTCATCCGTAAAGTCCACTTCCACTTCCCATCCTTTCCTTATAAAGAAAAGGATGGGAAGGGAAAGAGGACTAAATTAGGCCTCCGGGACGCACACTCATCAGACGAAACGCGGAACTGCTTCCACTTGACGCCTGTCGTCTGTGTGGTGGTGGTATTTCACCGGGCGAGCCGGGCCGATTCGTGCGAAGATGTTAAAGCAGGCTCTACCACTGTTAGAATCCACTGTATCTTACAATTTACTCATAATAACAAAAAAAAATGGCCTCTATGTATGTATTTACTGGCATAATGTGAAAGTTTATTTCAAATACTTAAAAATTAAATTAAATAATACTCAATGATTTCAGAAAGGACTATGATTGTAATAGATTAACTAGTGGCATTCTACAATTAACTAAGCACACACATTTAGTACTGGACGAGACTAAAATGGAACAAGGACGTCTGGACTCAACAGGAGTAGGGAATATTACCGCACTGGGAAATATGATCATAACACAGAAAGTTGAATATGACTTTAAATATTATAAGATGGAATTTGATTCGGATATTAAAGTTTTATTGTTGTCTGAAGGAAAGTCGCTGTTGCCGGTAAGTTATTTTGTGTAATTTATCCTTTCTTCCTATGAAACGCGTTTGGCACAAAACTTAAAAAATGTACAGCCTATTGAAACTTTTTTCCTGTTTTCTGACATAGAGAGAAATATTATTTTTTTATCTTTGTGTTAATTTTTATTATGTACACGTTAGCAATGAAAAACTTCAGGTGAATTTGACCATTGTTGGAAATAATAATGAAACATGAAATAATTACAATTATTTTTCAGAGTGATTATCATATTCCCTTGAGACCGGAAGAGTCATCTTTGGAGATATTTGATGCGATAGTGGAAGCTGCTACGTATTATTTGAAGGAAGAAATTATGAATACAATCAGAAAATATTTGACCAACTTAAAACTTGTCAAATATACTGTCAGTGAAGACTTAAAGGTAAGTAAAGGGACTTTGTAAAATTATAAACAGACAATTGGTCCATGACAAGTCATTATTGTTCTAGATATGGCAATTTATATGGGCAACATGTTATAAAATTAATAATTGAAATTTAATTATTTTCAGTTTGTGGAAGACGATTTTATAGAAATGCGTAAAACGGACTCAGAGAATCCATTCAGTGCGGACGACTTGCACCGACATCTTGTTTTGGCCAGACTGGTCAGTCTCTCCCGAGGCTACGACACATTGAATAAAGATTGCTGGGATATGACCCGGAAGATGGAAAGAGAAAGACTAGAACGCTTGAAGAATAGAGTCGCCCCCACATTGTAGTTTTAAGAATAAATGTTGCTTTTTATTAACGGTTTTTTTTATTTAAATTAATTTTGTACGTAAATGTTATTAAAGTACAAACAGATTTTGTTTAAATGTTTTTTTCTAAGAAGGAGGTGATCAAAGTTTTTGAAATTCGAGCAGTTATACAAAAAGAAATTAGACATTTTTCAACGATTTCTTTTCATTCCTATCAGGACTTTGCTGAACCTTTTTCAAGTAGTGTAAATTTAAGATAAATATTTAATAAGGAATGGATTTTTTTAAATTAATGTTTCACATAATAAATTAAACTATACTTAAAAAATTTCTTTGCCTGGCTTTACTTGAAGGGGGTCTCTGCCTTGTTTAATTGTGAAACGTTACACATTGTTGTCAAATTTGACAGTGAAGTGTAACATTTTATGTTGACTTTACGTATGATAGTCGATTATTATATATCGATTGAATTTTAATAAATAAACTGAAAGAAGTTAATATTATAAATATGTCGACTAAGAATAAAACAACAGATGTTGCTAGTAAGGGAAAAGTTACAGAGTCTCTTTGGACAAAAGCATTTACCTCCAACACAGAATGGTCCGACAAGGTTAGTTTTTATTAATCACGGGACTCTTGATAACTTTAAATATTATCAAGGTACATCTATTAAAGTCTATTGCTGGTGATTAGTAAAAGTTAGTTTTTCTTAATACTTTAATATAACTGTTTGTAAAAGTTATTTTAATTTGTCCTCGTCCTATTAATTAAATATGCCCTTCTCATTTAAAAATTAGTACATTTGTAACAAATTATTTATCATTAAATATAAAGCTAAGATTTCGTTATGTCAGTAAATAAAAATCTTTCAACTAATTTTGTTTTTAAATTCCACACATTTAAATTCTAATAACCCTTAAGTTATAACTAAAAAGTGTTTTGTCCATTGCAGGAAGAGTTTTTAGATGTGATATACTGGATGAGACAAGCCATTGGTATAGTACTAGGTCTCTGTTGGGGCCTTATACCTTTGAAAGGTTTTATTGGAATCCTGTTGTAAGTATGCTTAAACTTTTTTTTTCAAGATAAATATATGTAAATCTAATATATATAATATTGTGTATAATTTAATTTAGTAAATAATAGTTGTGTTTTACAACATCACATAGGTAAAATATAATTTATATACTTGTTTGCATCTTATGGTGTAAGACAAATATGTTAAATGAAAGACAGAAATTCCTTGTTATTTTTAATATTTAATTATTTTCAGATTTGTGGCTGTGAATGCAGGTGTGATATATTTATATGTTAGCAATTACCAAAATGTTGATGAAGAAGAATATGGTGGTATGTGGGAGATCACTAAAGAAGGATTCATGACTGCTTTTGCAGGATTTTTGGTAAAACTTTATTTATTTCTGTGACTAGCTGTCTTAAGATGCCTCAGAAGCTTCAAAATAAAGGATCTTTATTGCTGTAGTGCATTTAAAAGTCTAAAGAACCTGTAGTTGTTAACTGTTTTTGGTTTAAATTTGGTTGTTAATTCTATTTGATGCAAATAAGCAAGCAATTTTTTTCTCTCTATGGTATTAGTAATATCTTTCTAATGTTACAATTGTGAATATTTGGATGGATGGATGTTTGTTTGAAAGTATCTAGAGAATGGCAACATGGATTGCTGAAATTTGGCATAGATGTAAAACATAATTTAGAAGACCACATAGGCACTAATTAAGGTTTTTTAATTTAAATATCACATGAACAGAGTCGCGGGCGATAGCTATATATTATATACTTTCACCAAGAAAATGTATTTCAGGATATATCAGATGGTAACATACTTCTTTATTTCAGGTGACTTGGATAATTATATACACAGGTTTACATGGAAGTGAGAGTTTATGAAAACATATTTTAATGAACTGAGGACATAAGCCAAGAATTCTGCCAAGTGTTGAGAACAAGAATAGTGATGTGGTGTGATGGTTTATTGATTTTTGTGTGTTGTCTCGGATGTTGAAGGTAGGCTTAGATTTCTTTTAAATCAATCGATAATTTTGCAATCATATAATCTATGATGTGACTCATATTTATTCATGCAAGCAATATTTTTTTTATTAATATGATATAAAAAGGATTGAAGGAACTTAGCCTTAATTTGTTCTTGGTTCTTAAAGAAAATTTTGATAAGTATATTTCTGCAAATAAATACTCTGTATTGCAATGGATGTTGCCAGATTAAAATATATCTGTGTTGTGTACAATACAGTTATGTTATATTAGAAGTATATAATGTAGTCGTGAATTTTTAAATATAAATCTGAACTTTAATATATTTTCAATACAACTGATGCATGTTTTAAGATGTAAGTGATTGGGCTAAATAATTCAAGCAATAATATTCATAAATAAACAATTTTATAAATTAATATAAAATTTGGAAGATATACCTACATATATATATGTTAATTGATAAACTAGTATATTTGTGTAAAATTGTGAATGTGTGATTATGAAAAAAACAGTGTGTTTCTAGAATTATATAATTATTTTATTTATTTTATACAGTTGGTAGCTGTACAAAAATTAAATTCAGATAATAATATAAATTTACTTAAAGGTATATATTTACCTTTTATTATTTATTTTGCCTTATGCTGCCAACAGTCAATTGTAAAATTGAATAAAAGACATTCGTACGTACAAAATACAGTAGAGTCTCAATATCTCGAAGGTCAAAAGAAATACAAAAAATTATAACTTTTTGAGTCTGACATAACAAAATGTTCAAATAAGAATTAATTCTTTCAAAAGAAAGCAAGGAAAATGTAACTGTTTTTACTAAGTTCTCTAAAAATATGTATAGTACTTTTCAACTATCTTTTTGGCCCAAAATCATGTGCGCGTTGCACTGTTCCCTTGCCCGCTACACCTAAAATGTTCTGCTGAGTGACTTGCGCAACTTAAGAGCTGAAAAGATATCTGAAAACTAATATACTAAAATACCTACAAAGGTAAATAAAATTTTGTTCAAGTTACAAAGTGTAAATTATTCAAGATACCAAGTATTTGAGGGTTTACAGAGGATTGACATTTGTTTATCGAGTTATAGTGATTACACTGTAATAATAATACTTCTTCTTCGTCGTTACAGTCTTGTCAGACTGGTCGTGGTCATCACGTATCAGTGACCCGCTTTACCAGGCGCCGCCACTCCTCCCTAGTAATAATAATTAGCTTCCTAAAAAAATATACTTATTTGACCAAATATTCACTATTAATTGGTCCAATATTTTGTAAGTGAATATTAGTGTTTAGTGTTACTTCGTGAATTTTTAAAAGCGCAATTTACTATTGGTTTGGACTGCAGTGAAAATTAACACTGGTCATCCCTCTCATTCTAATTGAAAAAATAGAGACATCACTATGTTTCCCCGCAGTTGAAATTCAAGGTACTGAATAAAGCTTTTTTTCATAGATAATAAAGAAATAAATTTAATATTATTGTTAAGTTTACTCCGATGCTAATTTATAATAATAGTATTCACAATGCAATAAATAATAAGTGGGTCTAGCATTAATATTTGTGACAAATGACCATCGTATCGTGATCCACAAACTTGTGCCCTTATCAATCTTAAAGTACACCAAAAATCTCATACTAACGACATAATTGACGATGACGATATAAAGGTGTTTGTCGCAAATATTCATACTAGGCCCTAAGTCCTTGCCGGGTGTAATTATGTCAATATCGGAAAATTGATATTCTTTTATTTACATATACGTTTTTATTTAGATTTCAGTTTTAGATTTATATAGCGCAGAATAAAACATATTAATATAAAATGTTTTGGTATTGAATGAAATTTATTTATTATGTTATAATTTTAAGGGCTTGTGCAGATAAGGGATTATTGCAGAAAAATAAAGCAAAAATCTAACAATGTGTCACCTTATATCTGTAGTTTCTAATCTGTGCATTCTCTTATTTAAAAAAAAAAACTGTGTATATCAAATGGATTTGGTTGTAATGTATTATTATTTTGAACAAATATTAAAATGGTTGATTTATTACTTTGTTTTTTTATTTAAGAAACTCATGTGTAAGCTGTATCTGATTGCGTATCTTAACATTAATTAAATAAAAAAAACGCTAGACTACAAAAACATATTTAGCAATTTTAGCAAAGGTAAAAAATAAAACAAGTTGTATTTATATTTATTTAATTACACATCAATATTAAAAATAATCACTGCAACAAATAAATAAAATAATAAAAATAACCCTGCAGTTTTAAATCCGTAGATTAAATATAACAAATTAAAGATGTTTTAAAACCATAGTGTTTACATTATTTATGAATGCCAAGTTTACATTAATCCAGTACAGTGTCAGAAACCAGCGCTTTAAGGAAAAACTTTAAAACCATACTGGAACACGCATGTAATGGAAAAACATTATTCCACTTGTAATCGCCAACTGATACAGTACATTTGATCGCTAGACTGGAATAATATAAACTGGGCATAAAACTCAATTTCATAATGTAAAATGTAACTGTCAGTTTCGACAGGAGTACAACTTTTATATTTTGAAATATATTGTCTCGTTTTTTTTTATAAAACAATGAAAAGGAAATCGATATAAATGAATACAAGTCATACAAATAGTCGAATTACTAATCAGTTTGTGATCCGATTTTATAATCGACTTATTATTTATGATGTGAACTAAATGCCATGTTTACAGACTTAAATTATTAATACACAGGCCTGCTGTGTATTTTTTATTACTAATTGCCACATATAATGAAAGGAACAATTTTAATAACATACATTTGATAGTACATAAACTATTTCAGTATTATATGTTACGTTGTTATTGGTTATATATTTTAAGAAAGAACAAGTCTATCAAAAACATTCTTTGGATATTGTAACTACTGAAAATGTACTTGAAAAGTTGACTTACCATTATACAGACCTGCTGCTACACTTACTTACTAAAGATAAAAAAACAATAAAAATTCATATAAGTTTAGAGTATGACTTAACAATAAAAATAAAAAATAACAAAAATAATTAACATATAGCAGATAAGATCGTAACAGCTATATTTTAGACGTCAATTTTTTTTCAAGATCAATTTAAATTCAGCTTCAAAACTTCTCCTACAATTTCACCTAAAGTTACTCAGCGAAAGTTATTAAGATGGTGTTTAAAGTTGATAATAACTACCTCTACAGGTATATAACACACCAGTGAAGACGTTTAAATAACCAGTAAATTAGTATAGTTCTTTTCAAATGTCTTGGCGGCTCAAGATCGTGCGTCCTCATCCCACTACACCTATAATCGTGTTCGGCGCCAGAAACTCGCGCGAAGTTCAGAGCAGTCAAGATATCTGACAATTACTATATGCATATAGAAAAAAATAGATAGATTTTATAGGTGAATATTCATAATTTGTTTTTTATTCATTAGGCTATTTGCAATCAAAAATGTTTGAAAAAAAATGCCTAACACACACACCTACTACACACCAGGTGTAAAAGAAAACAAAGTTACATGTCAAACCACACTTAAAACCTATTTTCCACTAATGCTTGCTCGACTACCATATCCGAGCAATATTGTCTTCAACACTGGCAGTCGTATTCAGTGGAAAAAGGCTCTAACTGTGACAAACTTAGTCATCACGCCAGGTGACAAGTACATCATCAGTGCGGTACCGCTGTGTGATAGTGGACTCATCAAACCCAGGTCTGGCTCCGGACTGATAAGCTAGTGCTCCAGCGTGAGCTATCATCACACCGTTATCAATACAAAAGCGTTCATCACTGGCGAATAGTTTAGCTCCTCTTTCAGCGCACATCACACCCATCATCTCTTGCAGACGGAGGTTACAACCTACCCCACCTACAATCAGTACCTGGAAGGATGTGATTTACAATCGTCACATATTATTTGAAGAATTCATACGATTTGAAGTAGGCTATGAAAGACTGGATGATTTATTGTTGGTTTCCGAGTCCAAATATATTTGGTCAGATATAATTTAAATAGATAATAGATGTCAATATTTTTATAGAGAGAATTTTGATCTAAGAAGCCAATAAATAATCCATGATAAAATAAGAAAAACCTTAGCAATAACCAATTTCTATAAAATGGCAAAGGCAAAAAGACAAAATAATTTAACTCTACTTACAATAAAAACCACAAAAAATACTCACATTTGAACACAGAATACTTAGGTGTTATAAGATTCAATCTTAACTACTTGTTGTGTTTTTTTTTATAACAGAAGGGGGCAAACGAGCAACGGGAACACCGAGGTATTCAACGTCGCCCATGGGCATCAGCAATACCAGGGAAACTGCAGATGCGAGATGGAGAACCAATATAAAATTTTGACTTTGTACTAACCTCATCAGAGCCACAGTGTGCCATAGCCCTCTCGGTGATCTCAACCAGCATGGCAAAGACAGTCTCTTGCAGCGAGTAGCACAGATCTTCAGGAGTATATTCCTTCAGCAACTCAGTGATCTTGTCCTCCATGTACGACAGGATGCCGGAGAAACTCACATCCATACCTACAATAATATAAATTAACTAAATAAAAATTTATAACCTTAAAATTACATTAATTACGGTAAATATTTGATCGCAGTCAAATTTAAAAATATTAAGTTGGATTTTTTTTTAGGATTTAAATCATTAACTTTACCTTTTACACTGTAGGGTAGGTGCAAATATTTCTTTCCCTTTTTGGCGGCTTGCTCAATATTATAGCCGGGGCTGGGTGCGTTGGATAACTTCAGCACCCTGGCAAATCTGTAATATTTCTTAATTTAAAGTTTTCGTAACATTTTTAGTACAGTAAGTGGTAATTGAGGTTCACCTAATATTACATGTTCACTTAGGCAAGCAAAACCTACCTGCAATAGACAGGAGAGGGGATAAAAAAAATCCATCTCCTACCCTCCTAAATCCTCTTTCCTTTCCCATAATAAATAACGTAAAAGGCAAATTCAATCAGAATTAATATTGAATATTTTAGACCTGCCGTTGAAATGTTACAATTCAATTTAGTTTGTTTTAGGAGTTGACAATTATTACAAGTAAAAGTAAATTTTTGATACCTGTCCAAGCAGTTGCCAACTGCAATATCAATTGTCTCCCCAAAGATTCTGTAGCGCTGACGCGAGTAGGCGATGATCTGCGTATTGCCACCACTCACATACAACACCGTTGGGTTCTTAGCCTTAGTTATTAGCCGGCCCATTTCAATATCTAGATTTATCTGGTTAAGGAATTTATATTTCTACACAATGGAATACTCTAGATATATCTTAAAGTAATAAAAAATGCACAGGAATTTTTGAAATATTACCGTGTATTTTTTTAATATAAACTTGCAAATAAAGTGTAAAGAACAACAGAAAAAAATAAATAGGTGTAATTTATAGTAAAAACATACAAATATTAATTATGAAGGCAAAAGATAAAAGCCTAAGTAAAGTACAAAACTTATAATCCTTTTTAACCAACTTCAAAAATACGGAGGTTACCAATTCATATGTATAATGACTAGTTTGTTTATTTTGAAAAGGATACGTCCAATGCAATGATTGACTCCTATTATTGGCTTGTTCCATATCTTAGAGCAAGTGCGGGCTACAATTGCACAAACCAACAATGGTGCACCCATCCCTGGCCCCTTGGTATAGCATACCACATCAATATCACGAGGAGAAAGACCAGATTCAGCAAACGCCTC